GTAGATGGTCCATGAATTCTAACTTCTGCCAATTCACGACATAGCGCGACCCCTAGCCAATGTCTTCGGCGAGTATTTGTCCTCACGCCCGACCTGCTGCACCCTACTGGTCACGACTTCTCACTAGAACCCCAGGTGACTACCCACCTGAATAGGGCAAGTCGCTAGTGAGCATCTCATTGATTTTCAAGTGTTGGTTTGTAGGGATTTGATTGGTTACAGGATTTCATCATGAGCTGACATCAGTTAGAGAACCATTGGAAAACCTGGGAGTACTGGACAGCTGTTTCGTCCTAGTTTGGGACTCTTCAGCAGTACGCACCCACCGGGATTCGAACCCAGGACCTTCTGGTTACAAGGCGAGCTCGTATACCATTAAGCCACTGGGACCCGATCCAATGGTCCATGAATTCTAACTTCTGCCAATTCACGACATAGCGCGACCCCTAGCCAATGTCTTCGGCGAGTATTTGTCCTCACGCCCGACCTGCTGCACCCTACTGGTCACGACTTCTCACTAGAACCCCAGGTGACTACCCACCTGAATAGGGCAAGTCGCTAGTGAGCATCTCATTGATTTTCAAGTGTTGGTTTGTAGGGATTTGATTGGTTACAGGATTTCATCATGAGCTGACATCAGTTAGAGAACCATTGGAAAACCTGGGAGTACTGGACAGCTGTTTCGTCCTAGTTTGGGACTCTTCAGCAGTACGCACCCACCGGGATTCGAACCCAGGACCTTCTGGTTACAAGGCGAGCTCGTATACCATTAAGCCACTGGGACCCGATCCAATGGTCCATGAATTCTAACTTCTGCCAATTCACGACATAGCGCGACCCCTAGCCAATGTCTTCGGCGAGTATTTGTCCTCACGCCCGACCTGCTGCACCCTACTGGTCACGACTTCTCACTAGAACCCCAGGTGACTACCCACCTGAATAGGGCAAGTCGCTAGTGAGCATCTCATTGATTTTCAAGTGTTGGTTTGTAGGGATTTGATTGGTTACAGGATTTCATCATGAGCTGACATCAGTTAGAGAACCATTGGAAAACCTGGGAGTACTGGACAGCTGTTTCGTCCTAGTTTGGGACTCTTCAGCAGTACGCACCCACCGGGATTCGAACCCAGAACCTTCTGATTACAAAGCGACCTCGTAGACCATTAAGCCACTGGGACCCGATCCAATGGTCCATGAATTCTAACTTCTGCCAATTCACGACATAGCGCGACCCCTAGCCAATGTCTTCGGCGAGTATTTGTCCTCACGCCCGACCTGCTGCACCCTACTGGTCACGACTTCTCACTAGAACCCCAGGTGACTACCCACCTGAATAGGGCAAGTCGCTAGTGAGCATCTCATTGATTTTCAAGTGTTGGTTTGTAGGGATTTGATTGGTTACAGGATTTCATCATGAGCTGACATCAGTTAGAGAACCATTGGAAAACCTGGGAGTACTGGACAGCTGTTTCGTCCTAGTTTGGGACTCTTCATCAGTACGCACCCACCGGGATTCGAACCCAGGACCTTCTGGTTACAAGGCGAGCTCGTATACCATTAAGCCACTGGGACCCGATCCAATGGTCCATGAATTCTAACTTCTGCCAATTCACGACATAGCGCGACCCCTAGCCAATGTCTTCGGCGAGTATTTGTCCTCACGCCCGACCTGCTGCACCCTACTGGTCACGACTTCTCACTAGAACCCCAGGTGACTACCCACCTGAATAGGGCAAGTCGCTAGTGAGCATCTCATTGATTTTCAAGTGTTGGTTTGTAGGGATTTGATTGGTTACAGGATTTCATCATGAGTTGACATCAGTTAGAGAACCATTGGAAAACCTGGGAGTACTGGACAGCTGTTTCGTCCTAGTTTGGGACTCTTCAGCAGTACGCACCCACCGGGATTCGAACCCACGACCTTCTGGTTACAAGGCGAGCTCGTATACCATTAAGCCACTGGGACCCGATCCAATGGTCCATGAATTCTAACTTCTGCCAATTCACGACATAGCGCGACCCCTAGCCAATGTCTTCGGCGAGTATTTGTCCTCACGCCCGACCTGCTGCACCCTACTGGTCACGACTTCTCACTAGAACCCCAGGTGACTACCCACCTGAATAGGGCAAGTCGCTAGTGAGCATCTCATTGATTTTCAAGTGTTGGTTTGTAGGGATTTGATTGGTTACAGGATTTCATCATGAGCTGACATCAGTTAGAGAACCATTGGAAAACCTGGGAGTACTGGACAGCTGTTTCGTCCTAGTTTGGGACTCTTCAGCAGTACGCACCCACCGGGATTCGAACCCAGGACCTTCTGGTTACAAGGCGAGCTCGTATACCATTAAGCCACTGGGACCCGATCCAATGGTCCATGAATTCTAACTTCTGCCAATTCACGACATAGCGCGACCCCTAGCCAATGTCTTCGGCGAGTATTTGTCCTCACGCCCGACCTGCTGCACCCATACTGGTCACGACTTCTCACTAGAACCCCAGGTGACTACCCACCTGAATAGGGCAAGTCGCTAGTGAGCATCTCATTGATTTTCAAGTGTTGGTTTGTAGGGATTTGATTGGTCACAGGATTTCATCATGAGCTGACATCAGTTAGAGAACCATTGGAAAACCTGGGAGTACTGGACAGCTGTTTCGTCCTAGTTTGGGACTCATCAGCAGTACGCACCCACCGGGATTCGAACCCAGGACCTTCTGGTTACAAGGCGAGCTCGTATACCATTAAGCCACTGGGACCCGATCCAATGGTCCATGAATTCTAACTTCTGCCAATTCACGACATAGCGCGACCCCTAGCCAATGTCTTCGGCGAGTATTTGTCCTCACGCCCGACCTGCTGCACCCTACTGGTCACGACTTCTCACTAGAACCCCAGGTGACTACCCACCTGAATAGGGCAAGTCGCTAGTGAGCATCTCATTGATTTTCAAGTGTTGGTTTGTAGGGATTTGATTGGTTACAGGATTTCATCATGAGCTGACATCAGTTAGAGAACCATTGGAAAACCTGGGAGTACTGGACAGCTGTTTCGTCCTAGTTTGGGACTCATCAGCAGTACGCACCCACCGGGATTCGAACCCAGGACCTTCTGGTTACAAGGCGAGCTCGTATACCATTAAGCCACTGGGACCCGATCCAATGGTCCATGAATTCTAACTTCTGCCAATTCACGACATAGCGCGACCCCTAGCCAATGTCTTCGGCGAGTATTTGTCCTCACGCCCGACCTGCTGCACCCTACTGGTCACGACTTCTCACTAGAACCCCAGGTGACTACCCACCTGAATAGGGCAAGTCGCTAGTGAGCATCTCATTGATTTTCAAGTGTTGGTTTGTAGGGATTTGATTGGTCACAGGATTTCATCATGAGCTGACATCAGTTAGAGAACCATTGGAAAACCTGGGAGTACTGGACAGCTGTTTCGTCCTAGTTTGGGACTCATCAGCAGTACGCACCCACCGGGATTCGAACCCAGGACCTTCTGGTTACAAGGCGAGCTCGTATACCATTAAGCCACTGGGACCCGATCCAATGGTCCATGAATTCTAACTTCTGCCAATTCACGACATAGCGCGACCCCTAGCCAATGTCTTCGGCGAGTATTTGTCCTCACGCCCGACCTGCTGCACCCTACTGGTCACGACTTCTCACTAGAACCCCAGGTGACTACCCACCTGAATAGGGCAAGTCGCTAGTGAGCATCTCATTGATTTTCAAGTGTTGGTTTGTAGGGATTTGATTGGTTACAGGATTTCATCATGAGCTGACATCAGTTAGAGAACCATTGGAAAACCTGGGAGTACTGGACAGCTGTTTCGTCCTAGTTTGGGACTCATCAGCAGTACGCACCCACCGGGATTCGAACCCAGGACCTTCTGGTTACAAGGCGAGCTCGTATACCATTAAGCCACTGGGACCCGATCCAATGGTCCATGAATTCTAACTTCTGCCAATTCACGACATAGCGCGACCCCTAGCCAATGTCTTCGGCGAGTATTTGTCCTCACGCCCGACCTGCTGCACCCTACTGGTCACGACTTCTCACTAGAACCCCAGGTGACTACCCACCTGAATAGGGCAAGTCGCTAGTGAGCATCTCATTGATTTTCAAGTGTTGGTTTGTAGGGATTTGATTGGTTACAGGATTTCATCATGAGCTGACATCAGTTAGAGAACCATTGGAAAACCTGGGAGTACTGGACAGCTGTTTCGTCCTAGTTTGGGACTCATCAGCAGTACGCACCCACCGGGATTCGAACCCAGGACCTTCTGGTTACAAGGCGAGCTCGTATACCATTAAGCCACTGGGACCCGATCCAATGGTCCATGAATTCTAACTTCTGCCAATTCACGACATAGCGCGACCCCTAGCCAATGTCTTCGGCGAGTATTTGTCCTCACGCCCGACCTGCTGCACCCTACTGGTCACGACTTCTCACTAGAACCCCAGGTGACTACCCACCTGAATAGGGCAAGTCGCTAG